TAAATTGCCTGATAGCTATGTTGTATAAGCCCCCCTGCGGGCAGGATACAGATGGGCTATAGTTCAGAGCTAGCTTACTATGTGCGTCAACCTGATAGTGTCATATTTGAAAGGCATATGTGCATCATGCTCGATGGCAAGAGAAATGCGCCAGCGCGACGCGGGAACGAGTATCGCTGGTGGATCATGTTGTGTAGTTATTAAGTGACTATGTGAAATTCTCGCGGCGCTCTGTTAGTGATAAGCACTCGGTTGTTGTCAACTTCTTAAAGTGCAATGGTGCGATCACAAGCAATAGCCAATAGCGCGCACACTATTTCAACGATGAGTTACAGGTGAAATGTAAAGTTTGCCGATATAACTTGAAGACACCGCGCCCGATCCTTGACGCGTTGACATAACAACGAATGAATTGTGACGGACAGACGGTTTATAGGAGGCAAGTAAAGAGTTAATAACTTTGTGCGCCGTGGGCAAAATGCCGTTAATAGAATGTGGTATAGCGTCGTTCGGGAAGTGTACATGAGCTGTAGTCACTATAGTACATGAAGGCAGTCATGTGACTTTGGTTTTGTGTGATATTTTGCTTGGCAGATGAATGCGCGAGACTTGGTCGATCAATCGTTTGCGATCGCGGAGAAGCATGTTCTGCGTAGATGAAATCTACAAGGACGCGAAGGCAGGTGGATCATCTGTGGATGGTAGCAAACCAAGGCATCGCGGCAGGGGAGACCGGTGCGGAAGGAACCCAAGTTCCACGTAACGGCACGTTTCGGCCTTAAGCGCGTGCCTTGCCGAAGCGCCAAGTAAAAGTGTCCTGTGCCGCCAGTGGCCGCGCAGCAGAACGGCTTGAGATAGCGTTCCCACTCCGGCCGGCCCGCCCCAACAGCTGCTTGCGTACAGACAATGTCGATGCTAAGTATGCATGACATGGAGAAAAAAAAAAAAAAAAAATGGGCACGGCCGTGTTATCATATATATGGAAGAGTAGATAATAGAAGATGCTAATAATGTGTTTATTGGTGTTATTGAGTTCTCTACTTATAAGAGCTCTGGCGAGAAATGCAGCATACTCTACTGGCTTAGAAACACACACGTATGTATATGTCAACTAAGTTACATAAAAAATTGCACCTACTATCCCACCTAACGTTCTACGCGTAGCCATACCTATCTATCCCTACGCTATACTGGATAAGCCATACATACCATAAGTAATCACATGGGACCATACCGCATGACCGATACGCATACAAATAAAAAACACCATACGCATACCATACCATACCATACCCATACGCATACCATAGCCAATACCATAGTTCCCCATAACGCATCGACCATACTCATACCGCATAACCCATACCATACCATACATACCATACATGACCATACTGCCAATATACTATAGTAACGCAGTACCATACGGACCCCATACCATAAGCCCCAATATGGAGGGAGATATGTGTCAAATTCAAACGTTCAATTGACCGATTGATTGTTCAATTGAACAGGTCGTTTAATCATTCAAAACGTTCATTGAGAGCATTTTTTTTAAAAATAACCCGGGAAAAATAAATTTTGCGCCAAATGAATCGCCGCCAATTGACGAATTGACAATCAAAGGCACGAATAACTGACTAGCATATTGAATTGCCATGGAATGGAGCATTGCCGAGGGCTCGTCTATCGAGCAATTGCCGAGCTCGTCTATCGACATTGCGCCGAGTGCTCCCGTTCTATCGCCAATCAAACGTATACCTAACTGCCACATGCGCAACAAAGGCATGACGGAAGGCGCGTAGCGCGTACGTTGGCTAGGAACGCATCGCCCGACTTTCCGCAAGCTAAGCTGCGTGTACCCGCGTGTACGTGCGTGTACGTGCGTGGTATCTCCCAGTACCCGCTGTGTACGTGCGTGTACCCGCGCTGCAGCGTGCGTGTACGTGCGTGTAACGCCGAGTGTACGTGCATGTATCTGCGTGTACGTGCGTGGTAACCCGCTGTACGCTGCGTGTAGCCTGCGTGTACGTGCGTGTACCGCACGTGTACGTGCCATGTACCCGCGTGAACTCGTGTACCCCTATGTACGTGCGTTTATTATCCGCGTGTTACGTGCATGTACCTGGTGTACGTGCGTGTATCCCGCGTGTACGGGGTGCGTGTATCTACCGTGTACCCGTTGTTACACGCGGTACACGCACGACACGCACGTACATCGCAGGTACAAGCACGTACACGCGGTTACAAGCCGGAGATACACGCACGTAACGCAGGTACACGCACGTAACACGCAAGATACACGCGGTAACGCACATACACGCGGGTACATGCACGCACGCGGTACACACACGTACACCCGCGTGTACACGCCCGTACACGCGGGTACACGGCACTTAGCTTGGGAAACGCCGCGATTCGTTCGCTAGCAAGTAAGCACGTAACGCGCTACCGCGCCTCCGTCATGCCTCTCTGCGCATGTGCTGTAGGTATACGTTTGATTGGCGATTGTAACGAGCCTCGGCAATTGCCGATAGACGAGCCTTAGCATTGCTCCATTTCCACTGATTCAATACAAGCCTAATTCAGTATTCGTGGCCTTTGATTTTCAAATCTCACTTCGGACGCATCTCAATTTGGCAATTCGTTATTCAAATTGCTCAATTGAACAGTTGAATATTAAACGACTGTTCAATTAAACAAAACGATCGTCAATTGAAACAATCAATCGATCCAATTGAACATTTGAAATGATTAAATTGACTGTCAATTGAACAATCAAGTTGCAGTCATTGAACGTTTAATGATCTAAAATGTGACTGTTGCAATTGAACCATCAATCGATCAATTGAAGCGTTGAACATTTTGACACACCCTCCATATACCCCCGCCCCCCCACTCCGAGGTCGGCGAACAAAATCCGGCCCAAAAATTGTACAAAAGGGGGTGTATTTGACGTTTTCCAACGCCGGAGATTTTCTTTAAAAAGGGGTGTTTTTCTTCTCTCTCCTCTGTCATCTTTGAATATCATAGAAAACTTTATGCAAATTCGCCTGAAATTCCTGCTAGTTGTTTGAAAGCTCAATTCAGGATTATTTTAATTTTGAACAATGTAAAATATTGCCCCTAGTTCCTCGATCAGCTGAAACTCTACACCTACGTATGTAGACTGGTTCGACAGTTCCACACGCTACCCTAACGTCACTACGGGAATGAGAGCTCAACCTGAGATAGGGGGTACATGAGGCAGTGTTCCAGGATTTAGGGGGTCGTCGCAAGGCAGAAAAACCCGCAAGAAGCCGCGCCACAGAATTGCGGCACAAATCTAAACGGCTCGACCTAGGCTCGTGATAGTCGGTGTATAGCATCATGGTAGGAAAAGCCATCACTGTGCCGAAATTGGTTGACCTTTGACCTGTGACCTCCAATTTCGGCACAGTGATGGCTTTTCCTACCATGATGCTATACATGGGCACAGGGCAGATTTTAGACATTTTCTGAGGACATGGTCTGACGGAGCGATTGAAAAACTTTTTTGTTTCAGCGGTGACCTAGCATTTTTATGGCTTTATTGAAAGGACCAGGAAATGTGCTTTCCACTGACGTGCGAAGAGTAAGTATCTGATAACCTTTTGACCCTCAAGAGGAGGGTTAAACATGGATTTGTTGACTGTTAACAAAAGACTGAACTGTGTTTGATGGTACTTGTGTGATCGTGGAAGACTTAAATTTCACAGTGAAATTCTGCATGCAAAACTTACTTGAACAACGTCTACGCGCCTTAAATCATATATGAACTTCATTCTCTATATGAGCTAATCTAGCTAGAAAATGTATACACTAGCTGGGAAATTTCTCCTACAAGTCTAAACTAGCTGGGAAATGTATACACTAGCTGGGACATTTCTCCTATCATCCTAATCTAGCTAGAAAATGTATACACTAGTTGGGAAATTTCTCCTACAAGTCTAAACTAGCTAGAAAATGTATACACTAGCTGGGAAATTTCTCCTAGTCTAAACCTTTTTTTCCGGTCATCCTAAACTAGCTGGGAATGTATAAACTAGCTAGAAAATTTCTCCTACAAGTCTAAACTAGCTGGGAAATTTTGCTAGAACACTCGAGTCAAGACAGCGAATATTTGTGTGAACTTACCTTTTAAGATTATTCAATTTACTGTCTAAAGATCCAGCGATGGGGTGTTGGCTGTTGCATTGAAGTGAAGAATGTTTTGTGTTGATCTGTCGACTTGATTATAACTTGTCTCTCCGTCTTCGATATACTCCCTTGGAATTAGTAGTAGACTAGCTAGTAGTCGTACTCGACGTCAAGACGAAAGTGTCGTGTTTCCCGCAATTCGGTTGAAGTATTTACCGGATGACGTCATGTGACGTCACGTGACGGTTAGGTGTGCATGCGCAGAACACGCAGCGTCGACTTATTTACCGGCTGAGAAATTTACCAGGATTAATATGTACCACGTATGTCAGCACTGCAAGTCAATAATACGCTGTGGCTATATGCCCGGCAGCCGGGCACGGTCTTCGATTTCCTAAATGCCCGGCAGTTTTTAATTTTCAGCGTTATCTAAAGTAAACAAGGGTTAGGGTTAGGGTTAGGGGTAGAGTTAGGAACTGCCGGGCATTTAGGAAATCGAAGACTGTGCCCGGCTGCCGGGCATATAGCCACAGCGTATTATTGACTTTTGCAGTGCTGACATACGTGGTACATTAATCCAATAGATGCCACACAGCACAGCTGATGGATTATAAATCTTACACTATAGGTCCATGGTTATAGGTT